TGACCTTGATCACCATAAAGTATTTTCAAGTGAATTTCTAATTGAATGTATATGTACATATGTATGTACATATTTATTTATGTACTCGTGCATATGTACATATTTATCCTATGATTTGGCGTACTTCCGCTTAATTAAATGCAGAGCTGCTCACTTAAGCAGCAGCAAATTACCAGTGTTTCAGACGAAATTGCCGCTTTATCATTGCAAGCTGCAAATGCGCATAAAAATCGGTAGATTGCTGGAAGAACAGCATAATTCAAAAATATATATTTTTTCATTGTGTTGTATAAGAGATCTGTTGATTGTTTCTCATAGGAAGAGAACTTGTCCTTCTTGCATTTTTTTTGATTTTGCCTAGCAACTTTAAGCAGAAAGCAATTAATAATTGACCGAAATAAGGTACAAAATTAAAGTTTTATATTTATAATAGCTTTATCCTCTGCATAAAATTTCACGAACATACATATGTACGTAGCTATGTATTTATTTTTGTTCAAGAAAAACTTTTAAAGCTGTTTTTATCGCATTTTTGTTTTTTTTGGAGTTATGTCGTTCTTTTAGCAAATGCGCGATACTTTTCTTGATTATATTTATATATTTCATATATACATGCGTGCATACACTGCTCGCCACTTGAATAGCGCACCCTTATAATTTACAGTTTTCCTTTTGTTTATTTAATAATCATACATTTTTTATAAAAATATTTATATTTATATACATATTCTACGTGTGAATGCGATTTTAAAATTTGATACAAATTAAAAAAAAATTTCAACAAAGGGGTGCGCTAACCGTATGACCAGCAGTGTATAAGTTAATTATATTGATAATTGTACTTTATTGTTTTTCTAAAATTCAATGCCGAAATTTTATTAAAATACAAAGTATTAATTTATTCACTGCAGGTTATTAGGATAGCGCACCCCTTTGTGGGGATTTTTTTTTTTTAAATTTGTATAAAATTTCAAAATCGGATTTACACACAGAATATGCTATATTTTTATTAAAAAAATAATGAGCACTAAATAAATAAAAAGAGAACTGTAATTGCTAAGAAATAAAAGGGTGCGCTATTCAAATGACTTGGAGTGTACATATAATCACAACTAAGACGTTTGCGCCATCATCCATCTAAACGCGTCACAATTGTTGATGCCCATTAAAAGTTGCCTGCTATTTCCACTCCGGCCTCTGCGTTGTTAATGCCACATTTGAAGCGAATTACGGCAATGATGTGTTGCAGTTTGTTGTATGTAATTGTATGCGTACATGTTGCTGTTGCTGTTGTTGTTGTTGTTGTGCTGCTGCTGCTGCTATTATTATCTTATTGCTGCGTTTCTGGCTCATTTAAGTTATGAGTAGAGAGAATGTTTCGCTGCGCATGGTTGCATGCAACAAGCGGACAGATCGTCATGCAACAGCAGCATTCAGTTGCGTGGTGGTGGCATTAAATTAGCGAGTTTTTCTAGTTGTTAGACATATTGCAGTTTTAGTTGATGGTTGATTTTGTTTTGTTTTCTGGTTTGCCATGCAGCATTACAAGATGCCAACGAGTGTAAAATTAGTATACTTAAATGTGCACTTTTCCGAAAGGTGTACGTACGATTATAGAAATATATGGCTGTATTTAGTATTTACGTGTGTATGCTTGTGCGTGCCACACTGATGCTGAGCAGCTGACACAGACAGCTAACGAATGCTACAACAACTAAACAAGATCTTTATTTGCCAGTTACGTATGTACGAATATGTTTGTACGTGCGCGCCAAAGTTTTACGATGTTTTCAAAAAAAAAAAAAAAAAAACTTTCGTTGTTTTGCGGTTGGTTGCTTGCACACAATTTGTTAGATTTTCCAGCATTTTTTCACTTGGGCATTACTTTATTTCTCTTCGCTTCGATTGTTTACCCCACACCACTTGATTGCATGCAAACAGCCGCCGCCTACACATGCAGCTTTGCGTTTCACCGGCATATTAACGGCATTACGTTTTAAAATGCAAATTGAATTTGAAATTGAAATTGCCAAATTCCCGTCGGAAAGAAGTTTATCGTCGCAGTGCATCAATTAATTGTAAAGTGAGCGCGCTTACACACCCTCAACTAACTACGGCTATCTATATGTATGTATGTATGAATGTACATATGTAGGTACGAGTAAGTACGTGGCAGCAATTTGTTGTCGTGTTGCACGTTCGCCTTAAGTTATGTAGAGTTTAAGTGCTTGGCAAGGCACCGCAGCGCAGTGTGATTGCTGCATTCATGCAAGTTTGGCAATTTTATTTCGTATTTTATTTTGAAGCGACATTATTGACACTCAAAATTTAATCTCAACTTTAACTTAACTGACTTTTAAAATGGCTGGCAGATAAACTGAATGATAGAAAAGCGTAGACAAGAGCTGGCGGCAAACTAAGTTAATATTCAGATACCGTTAATGTCGGCGAATAAGCATACCACCCGGCTGATTTTGCAATGCTGTTGCTACTGTAGTTAGTTGCCTTTGAATTATTTTGTTCGTACAGTGATCCAGAAGTGTAATATGTAATATGTTGGGTGTGTAGAAAATAACGTTATATAATAAGAGGAAATGTGTGTTACAGAATAAAAAAAAAACTAGAAGTAACGCGATAAAAATCGGCTTGAAGTCGCTTAAAGGGCATGACTTCTTTGTCGTAAGGAAATATTTACTTAGCCGCTAGCAATAATTATTTTTCAAAGAAAAATTTATTGTTAGATTTTCAATCAAACTAAACAGTACATTATATCTAAATCAACTACTTACTATAAGTAAGATCCATTGAAGATCATTGAAGATCATAGACACCTATTGTGTCTTCCAGGAAATTTTCAATAAATATTATCTTCAAACTCTTTGAATGAAAGCGTAGTCGCATTTCCCTTGTTTTTCCCCAAAGGCTGAAATTCTTCTAAAAATGTTGAAAAACAAAACGTTAGGAGCGATAAACGATCACCTTATTCAACACAAAATATTTAACATTAGAAACGGAACAGATCCCGAGGTAATGAAAATTGAAACGAAAAACTTTCATTTGAATTAGGAATGCATACATACATCCGAAAATTGAGTATCAAACCAATCTAAGCATTTGGTAAACCGTCCAGATCAGGCTCTAACACTAACTATTAACAAATTGAAATGCTTGCAAAATAACACTTATCGAAGGTGAAATATGGCCGCAGTCGGCGATCAACCGAAACCTTTTTAACAATCTTTATTGGTTGCTCTCAGTGAAAACCCGTTTGCCGATGCGAAATAAAAATTCTTCTCAGGCAAGGAGGAATATAAATGGGAAGTAAAAAATAAATCTCCTTCGAGTGCATATGTATTCATCAAATTGCATATTTCTTAACATTCTTTCATATGACACCCATTTTTAATATTGCATATAACTTGGGTATAAAATAATTTCATTCGACTTCTCAAATAGGCGGCAACCCTCTTTAAAATATCTTCAAACTACTACCTTCTTAAAACTATTTTTTCTGACACCCATATGGTGATACCTTATTGACGTACCTAACTCCTTAAATTAAAATTGAATATCTTCAAAAAATGTGGCAACTCTCCTATACTTAGTTAAAATATAAAGCCTTTTAAGGTAATATCTGTTGTAATAATCCCTTTAATTTTTTAAATAATTTGAGTTTAATTTCTTAACAGGTGGCAACTCTTTTCGAAAAAGTAAAACCTTATTGAACATCTGCAGCCTCAGTCCCTTCGTTTGACACCTCACCATTGAAAATCGCATAAGTTTTTTGGTTTCGTCCCCGACTTCAAAATACATTATTTTTGAAAAAAATGTACAGTAACAAATCTGCAGCGATTACATTGACGCTTAGAGTATGCGAATAAAAAGTATTGATGAGCTTCTATCACACTCTTATCTTTGTAGCCGTTAATTATAAACATCAGAGATTAACTAAAATTCCTAAAAGTGCAAAAACTTGCTAGAAACTCAATTAGGATTATAAAAGTTTTGAAAAAGTGACGTTTATCAAGTCCTTCAGACTTATTGCAATGTAAATAGGTATGTAATTGATCCTGTACTATAACGAACTGCTGAGTAAAATATTCTTTTATATTAAGCTCTGTCTATGCTGTGGAAAAGTAATTACAGAATTTGAGATAATCTAACTAGCTACAATGCAGAGAAAATCCAAGACATCTCTGATGCCACTCTCAAAATAATAAGATTCAGATAAGTCTCTTAAATCGTACCCTCGGGGAGATATGACTTGGTATGTAAACCGAAATTAAGTCGGAGAATAACTACGTAGGGAATTTTAAAACATAAAGGTGTATCAATAAATATACATACGAGCCTTTCTAGGAATGATTTCAAATTAAGATCGATCGCTCATGAAATGAATAAATTTTCTGAAAACTAATTTACGTTGTATATTGAGTCCTCTTTTAACCTCTGAAGAAGCATTGTAAAGTGCGCTTTTATATAATTACAAATATTCGATCACTATATTTTCACACACAGCTCGATAGTCACTGTACAAGTGTGTTCAAATTAATCAGAAACCCCGTAAAAGAATTATAAGTTGTTGTTGAGGAATTTAATTTTTTTTATCGCACATTTGTCACACCAGCAATGTTGGAATTTTAACGGGCAAGCAAAGTTACTTTTGCACAAATTTCCACACACAAATGTTTTGTTACTCCTGCTCACTCATTATTTATCGTTTATGCGACAAATATTACCTGGCATTTTACAAGCGTTGTGTGGCAAACTATCAAAGCTATCAAGCCGGTCAGCTTGCAAATTTTTATGATAATCAAGCTGTGACAAGCGCTTTTAGATACATATGTACATACATATTTCCGCCAATTGTCATGATTCATGAAAAAAGCGCGCTTACATATTTCATAATCCATGTACGAGTATGTAAGTATGTATGTATATACATATGTATGAAAAAAATAACCAAACTACAATAAATTTATAAGTGTGTTTAAACTTACCATTACCGTTCGCTGATTTTATTCTGCAGTAAAAAGAAAAAAGAATGCAATTAATAAATTATTACAGGCAATAATGAGAAATATATGTATGTATTGGGTGATAATTTAAGGTTTGCTGCGGCTTATGGTTATTCTTTTAATATTATCACTTGTAAACGAAAGACTTAAGCGACAAACTTGGTAGACAACTATGGGGGTTTTTATTCTTCAGATAATTAAAAGTTTAAAGAAGTTAGAAAAATTGTATATCAAATTTCGAAGATAATTTGGCAAACAAAGATCGTAAGGCGACTTTATAAAATATGATAAAGCTTTATAGCCAAATTCACAAAATGAAAAAAAAAAACTTTAAACGCTTCAGAAATTGAAAATTTGTATGAAAATACCATTCCATAAAGCACTTTAAATCTACTTTATTTTATATATATAGACTTCAAGGATTTATGCACAGGGATTTTTTCTACCAGACGCCGTTTGTTAAATTTCTATTCCAATTAGCAGATTCGGCATCTTTCTTGGGATTTCACGAGCTGCACCAGGAAAAAGAATTAAATATTATAAGTGTGGAGGTGAGACGAGCAGCTGTTACCCGATAAGCCATAAGAGGAGCGCCGCATTGCGTGATTTTTTCCCCGCTCCTATTGTTACGACATGGAAACCTCGACCGTACGACGGAGACGAAAGAAGAAACGAAGAATGGAGGCAGTCGGTCAGTTGAGCTATGGCGACGCGCACGCATTATTTAAATACGAACTCTTACTAAATACATTTACTTGACTTCAATTAAATATATACATTAAATGCATTCTATACTATAAAAACATTGGTGAGTGTTTTCGTTTTCTTTACACTATGGAATGAAAGCTTGAATAGTTTGCTAGCGCGATTAAAGGGCAGAGGATGTGAACTCATAGCTTACGTGGAACTAGAATATCCCCATATTCTAAGCGAATTAATTCAGAAGGCCTTTGCGGATGAATTCAAACACATTTTAGGCATCTGTTGAAAGTCATTAAAACGCCTATACTGCTGAAATTTAATAATCGGTTTAATGTAGGGATTCCATCGAGGAACCAATGAGATGAAGTACTAATCCTGACCGCTTACACAAGCAGCACTTTATTATTCATCGACGGCTCCAGGCTAAATCATATAATGGGAAATGATGTACACTCACGGGAATTGTCACTAAAATTAAGTTAACATTTGCCTGATCACTGCAGCGTGTTTCAGGTGGAGCTTCCAGCCATGAAGAAAGTTGCGCTGTAGTAGATTGATAAACATTTTTATTTGCAGGCGATAGATATTTTCCCAGATAGGCGGTAAAGTATAAAAAGTTTGCATTATTACACAGAGAGACATGAGGGATAAATGCAAAGCAGAGGAATCGAGGGGTATGGCTAATATCTTGTAAATTGTGTCTTAGTGGATGCTACATACATCGAACTGGAAAATAAAAGATGGGCGGAAGAATCAAGTTAAAGAACGGCTTGGCACATCTGGTCCAGGAAGAATACGAATAGGTTTGGTTGTGGGAGTCATCGGTGTCCGCTGCTTAATGGGGATACATGCCAGTGGAATCGGATGTACAGCGAACGACTATCGCTGCAGCTGTAGGGACGACGAGGAAATCGAGAACGTCGCACACTTCTTTTGCCATTGCCCAGACTTAGCTAAACTGAGACGACGATGATGCCAGAAATACTTTTTCAATGATCTTGTAGAGTTTAGTTTGGCTAAGGTCTCCGATTTATAATGCTTCATAAATTCAAATTGATAGACTTTTGGCTAAATGTGCGCTGTAGTCTGGCAAATGGGTTTCACGGTTTGCCTGGTGTTTATTTCCGCGATGACGCAGATTTTCACTTTGTCTTTAAAGGAAGTTAGGGGTATGTCCACGCTCTGGGCAGAATTTAACATAGATATTTCTCTCTATTTTCTTGCCAGCTCGTTGGCCATGCAGTAACCAGGTACTTTCCTGCGTCCCATACAACTGTTAAGGATCGCAACGCCAGCTGGTTGAGAAGCCTTTTGTGTTGCAGTCTAAAGATTTAATGTTAGCCTGGCTGTCAGAACAGATCGTGATAAGTCTCCCTGAAGTAGCATAGGTAATGAGCCACAGGGCGGCCTTCCTTATTGCGTTTAGCTCTACCTGAAAAAAGCTACAGCGGCCAGACTAAGGATTTGTGAGGGTTCACTAGAGTAACTACATTCGGATAGTTGTCCTTTAGCTTAGAACAAACTGTGTGGATAGCTGTCGGCCCTGAGTATAGGTCTGTGGCAACTTCCCATTCGGTCCTCCCTCGGATTTTTATAGAAAATTTACAGTTTAGACAGCGTAGAGGAATGATATAATTTCTGTAAATTACTTCGGAGATTTTCCAGGATTTCCTTACGTTTGAATCTACAGTATCTCCAACTAGTTTTATATATATGTATATACATATAAATACCAATGGAGAGTTTAAAATTAATTCTAGAGCGCTGGTACGAGTCGCAGGAGAGACTTCATTTTGCAGTTTTGGTTAGCATGTGCCACCCGACCTCACCGTATCGAGGATGGGTTATATGAGGCTAGGTCGTGCCACAACTGCGTACATCGAATGTACCATTCCTACAGCCATCTTGTCGGCATAAGGGACCGTAATGGTCTTCCTGGAGCGGTTTTCAACGTTTCGCTTCGAGTCATGTTTCCTGTATAGAATGATGTCAAGGTACTTGAACTGCTCCAAAGATAACCCATTCATAGGGATACGATATCGAACAGAATGTATCGATGTGGTACTCATTTAAAGTATCGCTTTAGAAATATCGGGTACCCATTAACATCGGAATAAAAAGACTCGATATTCCAAATATCGATACCAAAATCCAAAAAATTTATCTACATATAGGTCTCGTATATAGGCCGCTGTGGTGTAATGGTTAGCAGTGCGCACAGCTTGAAAATGAAAAACAGCTTCCCATTAAAACCAAATCGCCGTTCAGGGTCGACATAAAACTAAGGGACCCCTTTTGTGCCACAACATTAAGGCGCGCGCGACAAACCGGAGGAGAATCTCGGTCAAACACTAACATATTGTGTAACAGCACGTAGAGATTGATGTGTTGACTTAAAACAACGAGGTCGCGGGGTCAAATTCCAGTACATGCAATACTAACTACATTACACATTTCTGCCCTTTAAAGCCCAATTTATATCGGGACGAATTGTTAATAGCATTATCCTTGTAATGTGAGTTTATGACATTCGACACGATACTAGGGTTCTGGTACTCGAATCCAAAAAATATCGTTTTAAAACTATCGAGTAGAAAATATCGGTATCGAATGCCAAAAGTATCGATGTGGTATCGTATCGTATCGAAATTCGTGTCCCTACCCATTCACAAAACACTGCTACGGAATTTGCTGAGAAAAGTACTTTATCTAGTTAAACCAGAAAATTCAGCAGCGGAATTGACTAAAACTCAGTAAAACTTGGTCACTTCACAATAACTAAAAAACCCCTTTCATGTTTGTCTTCACTTAACTGACGCGCTAATATCAGACACCTCTATTTAGCTTCGTAACTAAATAACTAAAAAAAAAAAACATTGCATACCACATAACTTTAAAGTTTTTCTTCAATAAATAGAAAAGCTTTTAGTTGTGCGATTTGTTTATTATATCATAACAAAACCATTAAAACAAAAAGAATGCAAACTCTTACGTAAAATAAAATAAACCAATAAATTCGTCAACTGAAAATAGCAAATCGTAGTCACAAAGTCATCAAATAGGATAAGCATTATCAACTTTAAACGACATCAAATTACTAACTTAGATTGGTTGTGAAATTGCAGCATAAAAAAAGAAGAGTTGAAAAATGCAAAACTTCAAACAGAAGGAGAACGTCAATGAAAAATAAAAACAAACAAAAAACAGGCAAACCGCAAACAAGCAATTTAAAATGTACAGCAGTGAAATGTTTATGACGTTTCCATTTGCGTAACAACAAAATTGCATTTGCCACCAATAATCGCAAAAATACTTTGTTTACAACTTAATGTTAGGCGATTTAAGGCGATTGCTTTTGAAGGTAAAGAAACAGTGCAGAAAAAAAAAAAAAATATCTGTGAAATGGCCAAGAAATAAGTGACTGACTCGTGAAATGATACTAGGAAAGGAGTTTGGGCTGCAGCAATACGAGTAGCAGCAGTGACAGGTTCCGTATTGCGGATGTGGGAAGTATGTAGCAAAAAAGTTGGAAAAAACTAGCCGCCTGGATTAGGCGAGGAGTTTCAATATCCACATATACATACATATATTACTGCATAACGAGGGTAGTTCATTAAATACGACTGTACATGTGTATGTATATGTTATTAATTTATTTATTTTTATTTACATGCGACGATTTTCAGGGAGATTCAACATTGCTCAAGAAAAATCGCTCGTGTAAATGGTGATTAAAAAATCGCTTGTCAAAAAATTTGCATGAAAACAAGGGTGGTCCATAAAGAGTAAAGTCGGAATTTTAATGCTCTCACCCCCTAGAATTGTTTTGTTGCGAAAAAAGTGTACCCAAATTTTTTTTATTTTGAAATTTAAAAGATATTTAGAGGTCGCTCAAAGCGCTCAAGTTTCCCATGTATTTTATATGAAAAAAAAACAACTTTTCGTAGAAATGATATAGAATTCTCAAAAATCCATATTTTTCGATCGGGAAACTCAGGTTCTCTTCAGGAGACTTCCAATAACAATACCCAATTGTTTATTAAACCATTATTTAATGCTAACAATTTTTTATTGGTCTCCTCATTGCATTTTTCGGGGTTTTTTGGGTTATAGTTACTACGAAAAAATGGTTAAATAAACAATTGCTTATTATTATTGGAAATGTCCTGCAAAGAAACAGATCAAAAATTATTTTTTTTTTAAGAATTCTATACCATTGCTTCGAAAAGTTGTTTTTTCCCCATATAAAATACATGGAAAACATGGAAAGGAGGAGACAATACAGCATATTCTCTGCGAGTGT